GGAAAGAAATTGGAAGATATATAAGCAATTCACTATGACATATCTACTCTCCTAGTGGCATCAGATATAAGTAACATACAGTGGGAGGCACAGCTTACACGCAAGATGCAGCTAGCGATTAAGTGGTTCTCTACCTCTAGATTCTGTAATCTACTAAGAAGTGGTTCTCTACCTCTAGATTCTGTAATCTACTAAGAAGTGGTTCTCTACCTCTAGATTCTGTAATCTACTAAGAAGTGGTTCTCTACCTCTAGATTCTGTAATCTACTAAGAAGTGGTTCTCTACCTCTAGATTCAGTAATCTACTAAGAAGTGGTTCTCTACCTCTAGATTTTGTAATCTACTAAGAAGTGGTTCTCTACCTCTAGGTTTTGTAATCTACTAAGAAGTGGTTCTCTATCATGTAACGAGGTTTCCCCATGAACATCTGTAAGCTATGACAATCCGCCCGCACACTAAGGTGTCACAAGTACCCAGGCAACATAAACGCTACTCTTCCCTTGGCGCGCGTTCTTCAACCGACGCCTTTAGAGTACACATTACGTTATAAACCCCTTTGAAGAGAACGGGAGCTTTAATCGTAAAAGGGACGGAAAAGACGGTGTGAATGTACGGAGTGCATGATGCTGCAGACGAATAAAACCGAAACACGGAAAGTTCCAACGTCGTGTATATATGCAATCAATATACGGGCACTCAACTATAACCAGCGGCTATCTCCCACTAAAGGGGCTATTAACATATTACCGCAGCTTTTACACAATGAAAGGAAATCGAACTATTTGCGAACCAATTGCATAATCGTCTCCGTAATTGAATTGGATCGTACAGTATTCTCTGTACGCGACGGTTGACTGCATTCATCAAGCTTCAGTGCGTGCAACACTGCGGCAGACATGCCGAACAACTAACTCGCTTCCTCTCTTGTTCCTTATTGCTTAATTGTCATCGGAGTACTCAACGCTTGGAGCACACGCTTAGAAATGTTTTGCGGTGAATGATCACACTAGGAGTAATTTCCGGATGCTGTTTCCGATGCTGTAAGCATATCCAACTTGTTTTTCCACGTGATAGTGCATTTCCTGATAGGTGGTGCTTTTGTTAAGCCTAGCGCACACGCCCGAGCAAAACGGGAAATTTTGTTTTCCAGCGTTTCGCGTTCTGCTCGGCGAGCAAGCGCACACACGCCACCCGACACAGCACACAGCTGAGCAAAACATACAGAAACACTGCGTACAGCGCCGCTGCCACATGACATCAAAAATAGCCATCCAATGGACATCCAATTTTGTGTGTCATGTGATATTTTTAAAGATATTGATTGGAGACCGTCTGTGGCGTTTCGCTGTGTAGCAGACCGATTGACGCACACACCCGAGCAAAACGTACGTTCAGGCAAAAACATGTTCCGCGAATCAAACATTGCTTGTTCAGCTGAACACGCTTAGCTGAGCAATGTTTTTTGTTTCGGGAATCCGCACACAGCCACGAACATGATAACATCGAGCGAAGTACGTTTTTGCTCCACGTTCAGGTGTTTTGCTCGGATGTGTGCGCTAGGCTTTATAGCCTAGCTATCTCGTGTTTTCGCTATTTAATCTTGCCATAATGCACTGTACGTCATGTGTACCTTCAGGGCTATCGCACGGGTAAAATGACTACGCTGGTAAAATCTCTGAATCGGAGAAGTTTATGGCGTATTAGAGGACGTCTAAAAATGATGTGGCCTGTACGTATATAGTAAGCCCATACGGACGCCTTTAGGAAACACCAAAAATGCTTTTCCCACTATACAGTAGATTCTTGAACAACCCTGAAATCTACTTCACATTGCCAACCCCTCATTATATTGGCACTGCTTCCTGCACCTCTCCTACGACTGCTATCAGTCCTCCTGCAGCCCACCCTTCCTCTAATCCATCCTACAAACACTCTGGCTCTCTAAAGATTAAAAGTAAAATGGCCACCCTTCCTCTAATTCATCCTACAACAACTCTGGCTCTCTAAAGATTTCTCCACGAGAGAAAGAAAGGATCGCGCGTATCTTCTCCGTGTACGAGTTTCCCAACAGCTACCCACCCTTCCTCTAATTCATCCTACAACAACTCTGGCTCGCTAGAGATTTCTCCACGAGAGAAAGAAAGGATCGCGCGTACCTTCTCCTTGTAAGAATTTCCCAACAGCTACCCACCCTTCCTCTATAATTCATCCTAAAATCACTCTGGCTTTCTAGAGATTTCACAAATAAATAAAGAAAAGAGCGTGCGTACCTTCTCCTTGTAAGAGTTTCCCAACAGTTGCACGCTCTTGAGGTCCACGGCTCCCTTGAGACCCTTCTTCGAGAAACCTTCCTTCTTGTTGCGCCACTTCTTCAGGATCCATCGCTTGCAGCACCAGCAGCAGCAGCAGAGGAACACGACGGCTATCGCCACGGCGATGGCAATAATAGCTGCCGGCGGCACTGCAACACACGGAGGCGGAGATGCAACGATATAGAGGGCGCCGGAAAGAGTGAAGCGAGGTGGGAACGCATAACACACGGACGCCGCGATGCAACGATATAGAGGGCGCCAGTGAAGCGAGGCCAGTCGGTGTCTAGCGAGGAACAAGGTATGGCAATGCCTGGTTTGTCGTAGCGTGGCAGGCTCGGTGTAGTGGGTAAGCGTGCCTTAGGAGTGAGTCGACATCCCTCCTTTTTGACCCTCCATCTTCTCCCTCTATCGTCTTTGCTAAAGTTAAACAATCATAATTTTTTGGAGAGTTAGTCGAGGTGCCAACCCCATTCCGATTGGCTTCCGAAGCAAATTTTGTGCTACACAACTAAAATAACGAACGCTGTCACGAAAATCTTAGTGCTGGTGAAAAATGTCGAGGAAGGGAAAGCAATATAGGTCGGTTAATTGATACTAGATGGAGAAAATAATTGGCGGATAGTTCGCTTGAGGGGGTCCATTACTGCTTCATGATGTGATGACAACCCTGTCGAAGCTACATATGTAATTAACACAACGCTTTTAAAAAAAGAGGTTTTAGTAGCGAAATACCAATTTCAGTGGCCAAGCACCCGTTTTACTGGCCATAATTATGGTCGCTATAAAAACCGGGTATTCTAAATATTAATAGAGATCGCGCTGTAGGCTGAGCTATAATAATTGCAGCGTTGGGCAGTAAAATTACCGTGCTGGGAATATACGCGGGTAATTCTGGTTTGCGCAGCATAATGCTGATCCTGCAATGCTAAAGTGAAGGGGTGGGAGCGTGGCTATAACCTCACATTCTCACATCACATATTCTATACGCCATATTTTTCGCGTACAGATATTTTCGCGAATTCAGACTTGACGGACAATTTCGCGAGTGGTTAATTTCGCGGTCGGTGAATTATGAATTATTCGGTATTATTCAGTATGAATTATTCGCGTGCTATTATTTTCGTGGTCGGGGGACGCGTTCGCGAGATATCGCCGCGAAATATACGCGCGTATACAGTATTTAGAAGATCAAGTTTTAACGTGTTGTGCGTACACATATGAAGACCCGAGTTAAGATAAGAATATGCAAGGAAAATGACCACCAAAACACCTATCGGTGATACACAGTCCCTATCGGTGATGATCGATACACAGTCCCTATCAGTGGTGAAACACAGTCGGTGCTAATACTCGGTCGACAGAGCTATAACGCAGAGCGACACAGCCATCTATGGAATGTCATCAACACACACCGCGCATAGCAGGCCGAAAAACACGCGGAGTGCCAGGGGCTAGCTGTGAAGGCGAGGGCAACGACCGGCGACTCACAAGTAATAGACAGATTAGTTATCGGGTGTCTAGAAAACGAAGACCTAAGTCAACGACCTAATACCTAAGACCT